CCCTTGGTAGTTTGACAGCCTCTCTACGCAGCAGGGTTCTTTGTGGCGATGGGGTACAGAAGCATTCCTGAGGGAAAGGGGATCTCCAAGGAATCAATACTGAGATCATAAACCCAGTGGAGGACATAGTGGGCCTTGCTGGGGAGAGAAAGGGGGCATTGGGTGACCAGGCACCCTTGCTGTTCCCATCCACATGTGCTAGCCATTTGGTTTTTGGGAACAGGTACATCTAAGCTCCTAATAGCCATGTTTTTTTTCAACTTAGACATGAAAATTCAAACACTTCACAAGATACTATTGGCGTTTTGGTGAAAGTTGAACACTCCCACTGAAACTAAAACTTTGGGAAAATCTTAACTATGGATAGTGCTATGGCTCCACCAATATTAACATCACATTGTTCTATCTGTTAGTCTGTATCTCAGGTCTTGCTCCCATTTAGCAGTGGGGATGGGAGGGTGATCGTGATCCCTGACACCTATTTGCTACCTTCCTGGGAGTCTCAAACTCTAGGATGACAACTCCTATTGTAATCTAGCCAGGGAGAAAAGTATTCAGAGTAAGCCATTGCTAATCAGTGAAGTATTCAACAAGGGAAATGTCACATGCAGAAAGGAAACTCCTTGCATCTGGTCTGATCTCAGACAAGTGGTTCAGAACTTTTCCACATGAAACCAACAAACCCAAGTGTGCAAGAGGGAGGAGCTGCCAATATAGAGTGCCTATTTCTTCTCAGAAAATAGTGAAGAGATGTGAATTTGGGGGCTTACCTTTTAATAAAGTTCTCAACTTTTAGAGCCTTGTCAAGTACATTGTTTGCTTTTTGTGTGTGTTCTCCTCCCCCCCCCCCCCCCAGTCTGCTGGCACCTAAGCTTCCAGTGAATTGAACAATGTATCAGAATGGCTTGGAATGCAGTGGTTCTTTAAGTGCTTGTCCCTCTGTATAGTGCACTTCAGGTTTACACATTTGTGCCATGCATCAAGGACTGCAGAAATTTTCCTAGCAGTATCTATCTGGTCTGAGTATGTGCCCCTGCTCTTCTTGTGCTCTGCACCGAAGTTGTAAAGGGGACTGCCATCTTAGTTCCCTTTTTACCACTTGTGGTTTAGAAAGGAGCTTCAGTGTTCACACTGACTTCAACTTTTTTCCTGTAAATAATTTGTAATAGTTTAGCTAACTAGTATAGTTAGGACAGACATTTGGGGTTCTGTACCCTAAGATTTGGGATCCTCCTCTGGGTCAGAAAGGGATTCCTGTATTTCCCCACCACACCCCTGTTCTTTGACAGTAGTGGGGAGAGTCCCCCAAGGAAGGATTCGTGGCTTCAAAAACTTCAACTGCCACAAATCCTTCCTGATCAGACTACCATCATGCCAGTCTGTACTGCCTGGAGGAAACCCACGTCTCATCCAGGTGCAGTATCTGCAAGTTGTCTCCAAGAAGGACAAAACAGCTGAGGAAGTTCCTGCTCCAAAGATTCCTCATGGAGAGGTCCTCGAGACTAGGGAAAACTTCTGATTGCAAAGACCTGTATGTTGGGCTGAAGAAGGTAGGAGCAGCACACTGAGTTTGGCTCTGTCCAGCTCCAAGGCCTCCCCCCCACACCCACTGGCTGCTGCTCTTCTCTGACAGGGGTGGTGATTCCAACCATATCCTGATGATCCTAACCCTTTGCCACCCTTTTAAGCAATTTCTGGAGAGACCACAGATTTCCCTGGAAGAAATCCAGGAAGCCCTGCACAAACTGCAGAACATCGTATGTAGCTCTAGTTCAAGTAGAGTGGAGCTTCCTATTAACAAGGCTATCCTTGAATCCACCAGGACACTTTGGCAGATGGTTCCACCAGTATCCAAGCAGGCTGAAAAGAGGTATTTCATATCTGCAAGAGGCTCAGACTAACTATTCTCATATTGGTCTCCCAACTCTCTGGTAGTATCAGCTACTACTGAGCATAGTAGGCAGAGACAAGCCAGGTTTCCTCCTCATGAAAAGGAGGCAAAGAGGTTGGACCTTTCTAGGAGAAAGGTGTACTCGTTGGCCTCTCTCCAGTGTCAAACTGAAGCCATCAAGCATTGATGGCCAAATATAATTTTATCATCTTTAATAAGCTGACAGACTTTGTCAAGAAAGTACCTCAGGACTATAGGGAGCAGTTTTAGGCCCCGATCGAAGAGGGTGGCTAGGTCTGATGGCCAGATGGCTTTAAATGTGGCGAACACAGCAGCGATGGCAAGGGCAGTGGTAATGAGGTGGCTCTCTTTTCCAGGGTTCCTGAAGGAAATGCAAACCGTGTAGGACCTTTTGTTTGAGTGCAACAAGCTGCTCTGCACAAAGACAGAATAATTCTTCCACTTGCTAAAAGTCTCTGGAGCCATGCTCTACACCCTTGATGTGCACATGCTTATGATTAAGTGGAAATCCAGCAAGCAGCAATTTTGACAGAGACCAGCCCTGCTGGCATTTTTACCATTAGCAGCAGCAAGAACTACTCCTCAGGTATCAGAGGACTCATGAAAATGGTGCTCTGGGGCAATCATCCATTATCTCCCAGCCAGCACTGGCTCCAAAGTGAGTTTTAATGGAACTTTCAAGAGCCATGCACCAACAACCTCATCAGATCTAGACATTTCCACTGTCTTTTCTACCCTTTTGGAGGAAGACTCTCCCATTACCTGTCAGCCTGGACAGAGAACACTATGGACAAGTGAATACTAGAGGTTCTCCTTGGGATAGCCATGCAGTTTTTACCTCATCTCGCTTCCTGAAAGGCTTGGTTAGTCTTCCCTCCAAATCTTGTATCAACCAAATCTTGAACCTGGTTTTATCAACTCAGAGAAGGGCAGTACTTGAGCATCTTGCTTTTTGATACCTTTCCATAAAGGTAACAGTTCTAGTTATCATGTCTGCCAGAAGAATAGGGGAGTTAGGAGGGTTCCTGGCTGACACCCTTCACCATACATTTTTCCAGAAGGATAAAATATTCATGAGACTTTACCCAATATTTATTCTTAAGGTAGTATTTCTTTCACATCAATCAAGTATCCACTAACCTGTATTTCACACATGAGTAGGCAAGAGGTGATGTGGTACTCCTCAGATGTGCGTAGGGACTTTGCCTTTGTCTGCAGAACACAAAGTAATTTCATACGCCTCACAGACTCTGTCTTATCTGTGGAAAAGATGGAAGGAGAGGCTAGAAACTTACTTTTGTTTTAATGAAAGGATAAGAAAGGGGCAGAGGAAAAGGAAGGTGGCCTCTTGGAAACTTGGGGATTGCAAATGAGGTTGTGACCACAGGTTGAGAAGCCTTGGACTATGGAAAGAAGTGGATTTTGAAGGCATATTTGAAGAAACTGTGAGCTCTATTTGAATCTGTAGCAAGTGAAAAGTTTGAGTGGTGGCTTTCTTTAGCAGATTTAAGGTTCCATTTTTAAACTTAGTTTTCTTTTATTGAATTTACTAATTTACAAGATGTAAGTTCAAAGGCAACCTTAACTGAGAATTTCCAAACTTTTAAACACATTTAACTTTAATGATGTCTTTAGAGAGGATTTTGCAAATGGATGGTGAGAATAATTTAGCACTCTTAAAGTCTCAATAACAGTGCATGAATTTAAGTAACAGTTAAGGCTCTTTGACTGGATATTTTAATTTGCTACTGTGTTCATTTTAAACAGATTTTTTTTAAAGAATTCAATTTGCACTGTGTTTGAAAGCATTGTTCTTAAAATATTAAGAAATTTAATAATGAAACCAAATCCAGGGCCAAGTAATGGAGGGTTTTTTTTCCTGGAAAGCACTGCAGGATCAGTTTCCTAATAGTGTATGTTGCTAATCTAACAAAGCACCTGTTCTTATTCTTCTATTGTATTTTATTGTAGGAGCCCTATGGAGATGTGACAGAAAGGAGGCTGCTTCGAGAGAAGCTCAGATGTAAAGACTTCAAATGGTTCTTGGAGAATATTTACCCTGAACTTCATGTACCTGAAGACAGAGCTGGCTTCTTTGGAATGGTAGGCAACATGCTTCATTGGTGTCTGGAAAGTGTCTCCCTAAGTCTCTCTCTCCTCTTTTATTAGTTAAGATATGGAAGATAAAGATGTACCTGGTATTTTTATTCCAGAAAATATTTATTTTGGTAGAATTTAATTAGACTTGGTAGACACTAAAATTTGGTGGGTATTAGAAATTTAATATAAAGTAAAATAGTATGGTTAAAACCAAAAGCTGCCATAAATTGCAGCTCAAAATTAAGTCTCTTAAGTGGGCTAATGGGGTTAGCGAGTATGGCTTTCAACATTTTTTTAAACCATTAGATAAGGAAAAAGTATTTGAGATTTTGGGATATGTTTTTAGTTTTAAACTTGAAAACAGGAATAAAGTGCTTTTAAACATATGAACACATAATTGAGATTAGACTAATAGTCAGGAAATAACTTTTTTCCCTTTTTTGAATTTTATTTGTTTGTAGCAATAAAGCACCCACACCAGCTGAGCATGCTGCTGGTTATCAGTAATACACATCTTTATTAGCATCACTCCTTCTACTAAGCAGCAATTCTTAATGTAAAAAAATGCTAATAATCCAGTACACCAAATAGCACCTCAGTTTCTGAACTCCCTCAAAAGGGCCAAAGCTGACAAACTGGCCCAAAACAGTTCAGATTGAAGGAAGGGATTCCAAAGCCCTGGGGGCTTTATGGAAATGCTCAGCCAGCTGTCCCCTCTGTTATGTCAAGCATGAGCACCTTAGTGATCACAACTGTGGTGCTCTGTCATGGGGAGCGGTGGGCAGTAGTCATCCTTCAGGTAATTGTTGACCAATGCAGATCCCTGAGCACAGGTGTCATGTGCTGTCTAAGACACTCAGGGGTACATCTACACTGCAAAATAACCCAACAACCCTGCAGCAGCAGGTCTCAGAACCTGGATCAACTGACTCTTAGGGCTCATGCTGCAGGCTAAAAAAATAGTAGTGTAGACATTCCTGCCCACCCCAAAGAGAGGGGTGGGTCTCAGAGCCCTGCAACCCAAGCAGGCATGTCTGCAGTATTTTTAGCCCTGTAGCACAAACCTGAGTTGGTTTCCTAAACATTGAGACTCACTGCCACTTTTTTCCTGTTTTTGTTTTTTGCAGTGTAAATGTACCCTCAGTTATCAGTTGGACAGCCACCTTTTGCACCAGTTGCATCTTACAAATAAATTTAAGATGCATTGAAATAATCTTATTCTGAGGGGACAGACATGGATGATGATAGCAAAAGCCACATCTGAAGGATAAAGCTGTACCCTTCTGGCCAGGCTCAGACAAGTAAATGATCCTATATGTCACCTGGTTTTCTAAGTGTAGCTGTGGTTATCCCAAGTTTATAATCTTGGGCCCTTCCTAGAGCAAGTCCTGACACTTCTGGTTTTTAATCTCAGGCAACCAACATCACCTCAGTCTTGTCCTGACTGAGCCAGACTGACCCAGCATGCTTTAATACTGCCAAGTGCTGGATTAGTCACTTAACTACCTCTACTGGATTTTTCTCAGTGGAGAAATAAAGCTGTGTGTTGTCAGTGTACTGAAAACATCATAGCACAAGTCTCCTCATTCACTCCCCTAACAGAATGTGACATTCCCCTGGTGTTATCTGGACTGGTGATCTGTTAGGCCACTCCAATCCTCAGCTCTGGGAGCCAGCCTTACCCTGCTCTGCTGTGAGAACCCCCACTCACAGGATCTTCACACACAGCTTCTGGCATATAAACTGGTCCCAGCTACATGAGTGAGCACTTTTGGCCAGCTGCTGCTTGGATTGTGCAACCGAATGACACCAGCCAGTCCCAGACACAGCCATAGGCACCTCAGTCTTGCAGTGTCCAGTTATGCCCACTGGATGCTGCAAGCTTATGCATTCGTCAATTTAACAAACAAATTGATATATACCAGGCTTGTTATCCCGAGGGGAGTTTGACATGCTTCAAACCAAATGCACTGCTTCAGGTAGAATAAACAAACTAACTACCAAAGATATAATCACTTAATCTAAGTCAAAGCACAACAAGTTAGATTTGGTCAAATGAATTAAGAGCAAAACACATTCTAAGCTGATCTTAACACTTTCAGTGCCCTTACAAACTTAGATGCTTCTCACCACAGGCTGGCTGGTTGTCCTTCAGTCAGGCTCTCCCCTTTGATCAGCGCTTCAGTCACTTGGTGGTGGTGTCTGTAGATGGAGGTGGGAGAGAGAGGAAGAGCATGGCAAACATCTCTCCCTATTATGTTCCTTCTTCCCTCTTGGCTTTGCCCCCCCCCCTTCAGGGTCAAGTGAGCATTACCTCCTCATAGTCCCAAACTGACCAAGGGAAGGGGGGTGACTCACTCGAGAATCCAACAGATCCTTTGTTGCTGCCTAGGCCAGTGTCCTTTGGTCCTGTGAGGCTGGGCTGGGTTTGTCCCATACATACCCTGATGAGGTGTGAACTGCCCCTCTGTTCCTGGAGAGTTTTGCCTGGGCTTGTTTTAAGCCATGGGGACACATTTTCAGCCTCATAACAATATACATGAAATTACAACCTATAACATTACTACAACAACACTCAGTGCATCATGAGCCTTTTGAAGACACCCAACATGACAAACTTTGCATTGGATACAACACAATCATATTATAAGGATGAGCATGGGGGTGCATGGTGTTCCCCCAAGATACAGAGTGTCACACAGACCCATTACATACTGAACAAAAGAGGTGATAAGTTAGAACCTTACAGTACCCCCATATGAAAGTGCACTTGTAGTTGATCACCAATTGTCCAATACAATCCTTTGGGACCTCTGAATAAGGAAAGAATGCAGTCAGTCTAAAGCAGTCTCATCCATTCCTTCCAGATTCATGCAAAACCATTGAAGAGCACAGGTTTGAGATGCAGAACAGGAAAAAATAGCTTTTTTTCTGGTAAAATGAGCACATTTGATCAAAACCATTGAGATAGTAATTGTTAAATCCTGCAACTCCAGTCCCTTTTCAAAACAGAACCTCACTTTGAGTCTGTACTACTGCTATTGCTACTATCCTCTTTCCTACAAGACTCCCATTAACTTCAGAGTTCTGCAAGATCAAGGCCAGACTGATGATAAAAATGTTAAAGAACAGATAGCCACATATACAAAGATCTTAAATTCTTTAAATATTTCAGAAGAAGAAAATCTTGTTCTGCTAGACTAGAAACAAGTGAAAGGATCGGTCAAAGGTTAAAGAGCTTGCAAAGAAGCCACGTCATTTGTCTGCATTGATCTGCATGACAGAAGATACACCAGTCTCTCTCTCTCTCTCTCATTAACAGGTGAAGGTGAAACAATCTGAGAAAAAAATGTATGTGTATATATAAAAATAAATTATAAAATAGACAGGAAAAGGAAAGGTGTGGGGGGGGGAGGGGGGAGATGAGTAGGCAAAACCAAACCTATGAATGGCCAGGGTTCCTGGTTGAAAATAAAGATGCCATTAGACTTTAACATTGAATGGAAAATAAGACACAGAAATCAAGCCATACTAAATAAAAGAAACCTGACAAAATGAAGAAAAGCACTAGTTTCTCTTTTTCCAGGTTAATCTGGGTTTTATACTATAATTCATGAAAAATTTACAGATTGTGTATGTAGTAGTTCTTCTGGAGCATTCCAGTAGGGTATATCATCCCAAACAATCTTTACTCAAAAGCAAGGCAATCTTGGGCAAATTCAAAACAGTCTAAATCAAATCCACAAAAGGTCAGTTTTCAAAATAAAGTTCAAGATTTCCAGCCAATGTCAGGCTCTCTTTAGCATGACTGATTATTTGATCTTCAGAATTTAGAACAAAGTCCTATCTATAGTAATAATCCAGAGAATTTAAATTTGTCAGGTTTTCCTCCTCAAACCATATTCCTTGCTAGGAGAAGTCAAGGAACACACACACACACAAGAGTTTGTTCTATTATGATAGTAACAACGTGATTTTGTAAATCAAGTTAATTCCTAGTTTGTGGTGACAGGCTTATAGAATGAGATCCCCTCCCAACCTGGAGCTAAGTGAATTAAGATATATTTTTTTGAATGAGTTAGTAAGCACACAAGCCCTTGAAGGTCTCAAGGTGCCTTTTACAAGTCCCAAGTCTGCTTCTAGAGTATTTGTGATGGTTCGAGGCACCCAGACTGAGAGTCACCTTGTTACCCCTTGCCTCCAGCAAGAGGGAGCCTTTCTTGTGGTAGCTGAGTGTTAGCCAGCTGACACCACCAGCCTTTCAGCAGCTCAAGAACTCTTCCCAGGGCTATGCCAGCCCTGACTTTGCCTTGCAAGTTAACAATAAGTGCACCCCAATCTCCAAGTCCTTTTGAACCGTTCCCTTGTGCTATTCAGATCCTGAAACTGGCTACTCACATAAATTCAACATCCTTTCTGCACCCAAAGGTGCACTATACCCCATTTTACCTTTTTTACTTTCCATCACCACTCCTGTAAGTCCCATCACTTGTGAGCACTTAAATAAACCTACTTTTGTTTTATATTATAAGAAAAATAAAGATTTAACTCAGGGGAGGGAAAACTACAGCCTGTGTGCCGGATCTGGCTCGTCAGAGCTTTCAGTTGAGCTCGTCAGAGCTTTTCAATTGTGGGAGTGCCAGCCCCTTGGTGCAGCAGGGCTAAGGCAGGCACCCTGCCTGCCCTGGCCCAGCGCCACTCCCGAAAGCGGCCAGCACTACATCCCTGTGGCCTGGGGGGAAGGGGGGGCAGAGGGCTCCATGCACTGTCCCCCACAGCTCCCATTAGCCAGGAACAGGGAACTGCGGCCAATGGGAGCTTTGGGGGTGGTACCTGCAGGCGAGGGCAGAGTGCGGTAGAGCCACCTGCCCCACCCCACCCCCAGGAGCCATTGCCAGACATGCCAGCCACTTCCGGGAGTTGCGTGGGGCCAGGGCAGGTGGGAGCCTGCCTTAGTCCTGCTGTGCGCCACTGCCACCCTGGAGTCACTCAAGGTAAGCGGCGCAGGGCCGGGGCCCCCAACCCTGAGCCCCCTCCTGCACCCTGCACAGTACCTGCACCCGAACCCCTTGCCCTGAGCCCCTTCCTGCACACCACATCCCCTCCCACACCCCAACCCCCTGCCCTAGCCCTACATTCGTGGCCCTGCATACAATTTCTCCACCCAGATGTGGCCCTTGGGACAAAATTTGCCCACCCCAATTTAACTAGAAGTGGGAGAAAGTGATGGAATCAACTGGGCCCAACACAAAACAAAAATCATACAATGTGATGTGGGTCTACGCCTAGGTTCCCTGTAAGCTGCGCAGCCATGCAGCAGGCTATTTAGGGCTGCACAGGTCCCCCGGCCTGGCCCAGCCCCTCTGGAGCTGCCAGGGAAAGGAGCCCCTCCCTGGGCCTGCCCTAAGCCCTCTGGAGCTGCCCTTCCCCCAGCTCAGCCCCGCCAGAGCTGCTGCAGTGAGGGAGGGCTGGGGGGAGTCCTCTCTCCCCGCAGCAGCCTCAGGGCAGCCTGCACCCCAGCCAGAGCCCTAACCCCTCCCCCCACACCTCAATCCTCTGTCCTAGCCCTGAACCCCCTCCTGCACCCTGAACTCCTCACCCCCAGCCAGAGCCCACACATCCCAACCCGCTGCCCTAGCCCTGAGCCCCCTCCTGCACCCCAATCCCCTCATCCCCAACCCCACCCCAACCCTCTGCCTCAGCTCTGAGCCTCCTCCCACACTCCAAACCTCTTGGTCCCACCACCATCTCATATCACCTCCATATTGGTGCACATAAAATTCATTCTGCACATTGACGTACAAAGTTAGAGGGAACACTGGTCTCCACTTATCAATAGTTACCTTTCCTATCTAACAAATAGGTTTTCTCCACAAAGTTCATTTGTTTGCAGAGCCAGCTGGTTGTGCAAGAACCAGAATACAAACATTCATGAAAACCCCACACCCCTTAAGGGGTTTCCTCAGTGAATGGACCCAGAGTGCCTTCCTCTACATTCTGTTATACTAAAACAATGTTTTGTCTTTATTCATAGCCAGGGTGATCTCCTGCCTACTATAATGTCCCTTTTCATGTCCAAATGGTTTCCAATTGTTTGCTGTTGTCTGAGATGGTTTTCATTGTGTGCTCTGGGATATGGCAAGGGTAGACAACAGAACCTTGCCTTACCTCACCAGCTGACTAGGCAGAGGTGACAACTCCCTCTTCCTGGAGTGGGCCATCACTGAGAAATATTACCCTGGTGACTAGTTTTAGTTACAAGCTTTCTGTAGATACTTCACATGTTGCCCTTTATAGATAAATATCCTGTAATATTTGTTTGGTATAGTGAGTTTGTCAGGTCTGAGGTGAGAGATGTTTGCAAAGAACAGGGGACCCTTTGCCCAGGGGTCTCTGTGTCATAGGTATGCCTTCAGAAAATCCGTGTCATAGAGATTTGCAGAGCCAATGCTTGGCGCTCAGTCCATACCTTTGCCCAGCATTACTGTTGATCTCACCTTGAGGTCTGATATCCAGTTCAGGAAAGCAGACTTCCAGTCATTCTTTAGGTAAGAGAGGTGCTTCTGTCCTACATCCTTGGTGTTTATCACTGCTCTTTTTGGATCTGTAGTGATATCAAAAGGCAACAAAAAGGTTATTCATCTGTAAATGAAACTCTTGAATAAGTTGTTAATACGGATCCAGACGAGACTTCGCCTTCCGTCCCCACTTTGAAATCTGTTAGGCTTTGAGGAAGTGCCATGGCACAAACTCAGTTAGCCTATGATTTTAGGAGGGGGATTTTCAAAAGCACTAGTTGTTGGAAGTCTAACTCCTCTCCAAGTGACAATGAGCCAACGTTGAGCACTTTTTGAAAATTCTATCCTATCTTCCTGTCAGAAATGGTCCCTAATATTTCAGAATGTTTTAACAATTGCAGTTTAAATTACCTATCCCCAACCTCCAAAGGAAATGGTGACTAATTGTGGTTACAGAATACACAGCATGGAAGAAAAAAAATCATGTAGGCAAAGAAACAATCAGAAATTCTGCATAGACAGAATTATTGACAACTTTTATGAGCTGAACTAAACGCTTCATAAGGAGAACAAATATTTTCTTGTTATTTTCTTTAATGCAGCATTCTACTAAAATATTAAGGTAAGTCACAGACAAATTTAAAATCTGATACTAAGTTACTGTTTATACTCTTACTTTAGCTTTTCTTGCATGATTTAAGCTTGTTTGATATGTGTTGGAAAAAATATTGAGAGAGTACATGAATGAATGGATACTATTATGGTACTATTTTTGTCAGCGCAAAGCAAACTGTCTTCATCAGTTAATGGGAGAAGATAGTGTTTTCACAAACCCTCTCTCATCTGTTCCTGCCTTGGAACAAGAGACTGGTGAATTCATGCATAAATGGTTTCAGGACCAGATTTTTAAACCTGCAGTTTATGGGTGCAAATATCTGCAGGTGCATCTTGCATCATTTAGGTGCTTAGTACCTGGTTGTACCCGTATATAAGGTTCTTAGATCTCTAAAAGGCCTACTTTATGGCTGTAAAATGACATTAGAAAATTCTGGAATTCGCAAAATAAGTGATCCAGTTATAGTCAGGCTGAAATACTGGCACTACATGTTACTAGTTTGTCTGCACAACAAATGTGTGTGTAGGGGACACAAAGATGAGATGACAATGATGGAGCATAAATATATAAAATTGTTCTGAATTGAAATTTGAGGTAATTAGGAATCTTTTATTGTGTTTTCTCTTGAGTTTTCAGTTTCAGAACCCTGTTTAAATTTTCTTCTCCTTTAGGTCTACAGCATACAAAGAAAGTTGTATCGGTGTGCAGTAATTTGGTTTGTAGTTAACTTATGCACAGACACAAAATAGTGTGCCTAAAAGTCAATAATATTGTATTGCTAACTTAAGTGGGGAGATAATCATTGTGATGTTTAATGGAGTATAGGCAAGAGAATATTTATGCTGGTCAGATGCTAGTGGAGCACTTGGTGACTTCTTTGCTTGGAACAGTCATCTGGGGAGTGACAGCTGGGGTGAATATTTGACTCAGTTGATCTTCCCATTGGAATAAATGGCTAGTGTGGCAACACAATTAGATTTCTGAGCATACTAATGAGTAGTACCTCCAACTCTGAAGTCAATTAAAGGCAAGAGAAACCCATTTATGATTGTAGTTTATGTAAGAAAATTGTCATTTATAATTCAGCATAACTTAAATCTGATATTCCTTCATATCAGAAATTATAGGTATTGGGTGCAAGTGTTGGGGGAAGGTTGTAATTTGTATAGTTGTTTCAAGCTTGGCTCAATTTTACTTCTTTTTGTATGTAGCCCTTTACCGGTGTTAAATGTAAATTAAAATTTCTTGGTCAAACCATAATTTACAAAAGGGATAGAAGAAGTTCTAATGCAACTGCCTTCAATCCAAGCCACTCTACAATAAAAAGGAAACCAGGGAGACTTCCTTTAGCTCTGGAAAGCACCACTAAACTGCAAGGTTTACAGCTGCTCAGATAGAGATCATCAGAATTCAAAATCACTTATTGTTTAGTCACATGTTGATTAGTGGTGTTAATGCACTCACCAGAATGGTGATAAACATCTGGAGAAGGGTGTGTAAGGAGTGTTCTTGAAGCTAAAAGTATTACAGTGCAAATGGATCCAAAAAAAGTGGAAAGAGGAGATTGGGTAGTAGGTAAAAGTGGAGTAAAACAAAAGTAAAGAAAGTATTTGTGGAATACCCTTTCACTTGTTTTACTTTGATTTGTCCTAATTTATTCATGTCTATTCATTCTCTGCATTGGAAATTATGGATATAATTATCACCTAATACTTAAGCAAAATTACAGCTTCAATAGTTATAGGGACACTAACCCTGCCTGTTTTATTCTTTTATATGCGACATAGCAGGATTCAGGTAAAAGAGGCATTTAGCTTTTAATATTTATTTACAGAAGTTGTTTTGTTTCAACATTCGTTTAAGTGGATAATATGTGAATGTGCAAAGCATGTATAAATTTTTAAATCATCATTATGCCCTGGTTCAACTAACTTTCAAGTAACTTGTTTATCTTGGATATTTTTATTAATTGGAAGTTCTTATTGATTTGCCTGTGGAATATTTCATAAAAACAACATAATGTAATCTTTCTGCAAGTGTCAATAGCAGTAAGAAAGGCTGGGTTCAACATGACGACTAGTCATATCTTTAAAAATAAAAAAAACATTTTGTTCAAGTCACCATTGAAATTGTAGTCACATGCAGGTTTTAGGAACTTAAATCCTAAACACTAGTTGCCTTCACAGGGTTTTTTCTTCACTCTGAAAGCACACGAGAGTTTTCATTTTTCAAATTGAAATAAATCTCTATTTAAAAAACAAAATTAAATGAACAAAAAGAGAAAAAGAACTATGGATATATGGCAGATTTCCTGGGCTCAGTGGTTAATTGACTAATTTGCTGGGGTCCCAAATTACTGTTCAGATACAGTCCCCACTTACCTAAACCGACTCAAGAATCCAGTTAGACTATGTGACAACCCAAGTGAGTGCCTCCCATACACTTCTGCCAGGCATGGCCCAGTCCAATCAAGTCAGCAATAGCCGGTCTGCTCCAATCCAATCTGTCAAAGTTGCTGCCACCAGGTCTGCTGCTGCCAGGTTTTGGTTCAGCAAAGCCAGCTGCACAAGGTCTATTCTGGTCCATGATTATCAGGTTCAGTTTACAAAGTCACCTCTATCAGGTCTATTGTTGCCAGGCCCTGATTCAGTGAAACCAGCTCTACTAGGGTTCAGAGCTGCGAGTGGGAAGCCTATAATACAACATGGGGTATGAAGTGACAAATGTATTTACTTCAGGCTGATGCTTTAATTTGTTTTTTTTTTTCTTATTTAGCTGAAAAATAGAGGAATGGCAAATTATTGCTTTGATTATAATCCTCCAAATGAGCATGAAGTAACAGGGCACAGAATCATATTATATCCATGCCACGGCATGGGACAAAATCAGGTAAGATTTGTTTTTTTACTGTAGTTATGATTAACTGTCTTAGGATGTATGATACTAAGTAAAAATGCTCCACAGTATTTCTGAGGGGACATGTGGCCACTGCAATGTGATCTTAGTCAGCACCATTCCTATTTTTGTTTCCTCCATGAGATTCTGTTAACTTTCTTGTGCCCCATAGAAAACTGAAGTCAGGTTTTCAGAGTTCTAAGTTGCATTTGGAAGATAACTAGGCCATGTTGACCCATCAAAGTCTCCCCACATCTGTCAAGCAATTGTACCTTTTAAAATGTGTTCTCATTAGAATACTTGTCTAACTTTTTAAAATATATACATATTAATTGCCTTCCTGGGTAAAGGTGTTTCTTCTAAACTCCCTTAGAATCTGATCCTCTCTCAGCTTTGGTTTTTGCATTCTTGGTTTGAAGCCTGTTAGCCTCACCATACTTCTCATGGTTTGAAATACCAAGTAGAAAAATGGCTTTAGTTTTGTGTACAATTTTAATCTACATACAGTCATGAGATCTTAACCTTCTGAAAGTGTTGCAGGGCTCCAGGACTGTAATAACTTAAGATATTTGAGTAAGTAGCCTTTTAATGCTGGGGTTTCACATAACTCTGAGGACTGATTGGTGCCTCCACATGCCAGCACTCTTTCTGATGTATTGGTGTACCATCCTCGTATGTCTTCTGGTTCCTTCCAGGACTGAGGAGGTACGGCGTGCCCATAGTGGGTGGTCAAATATCTAGGTGTGTGGTTGAGAGGCAGAGGAGTGTAAGTGTATGGCAGGAGGGACTAGAAAACTTGGGCAGGTGACTGGGTTTGGGGAGGTGAACAGGGACAAGGATGAAGAGTTTCAGAGGAGCACCAGAGTTGAGGAGGGTCATGCAGTTTACCAGTCACCTTTGTAAACTTCTGGAAACTGTCAGACTATGAAGAAACTTAAAATATAAAGGGGTGTGAGCAAAGCTATCTTCAAAGGGAAACTTTCAATACAGAATCCATTTTACCTTCTTTTTGGGGGGAAAAGGGTATTCCAAGCTTCCATTGAATTTAATTGAGAACAAAGTTATTCCTGCCATGATTTATCATATGGCAGTAAGATGTATTAGTAGCTGTATTATCAGTGTTAGTATTTAATAGTATTGGTTGTTTAGATTGCAGCAAAGGCCAAAATGTGTGGGTACTGTCTAAACACAGGAAACAGTCCCTGCCCTGAAGACAAAGACAGATGAAGGGTGGGGGTGTAGTTATACATCATAAAGCCAAGGGATTTGGGTGAGGTTAGGCATATCTTAGATTTTAAGCACCCTAAATGTCATCCTTTCCTTGTTCCACAATTCAGTCCTCCTCCCCCAACACGCTGTTTCAAATGAGTAGTTCAGTGAGATGATTAATGAAATAGATAAACAGATAATTTAGTCACCTAGCTTCTTGTTAGGAAGAAGTGACTACTTCCATGGATTGACATCGGAGCTAATCACACCCATAGGAATGGATGAACTCCAAAAGGCACTCATCCAGTAATTTTATACTCAGGGGTTTCTGTTCCTTTTTAGGCTATTTTCATATTCTAATGAAAGTTTTTCAACAAAAACATGAATTTCAGCTTTGTTCCAATAGAAAAAAAAAATCAGGGTACAAGGGCAAAACCAATAGAGAACTATTTATTTTCCTGCTTTTAAAAGGTTGTGACAGGATGACAATTTGCAATTTTTTTTTATTAGAAATAGAAAATTAACTCCCATTCTATTGTGAAGATATCACAATATAACACTCCCCCCACCCCTGGCTCCCAGTCTTCCTATGCAGTCAACAGGAACAGTAAAAAGGCACATCCCTGACAGACAGGCCACCCCCTGCCAAATTTCAATGCCCTGCTCCAAAACATGGGGGCACTCACAGAAGATGTCACCAGAATTTGCTAATGTTGCACAAGGGTGTGGGACTCCCAAGTTCGAGTCCTTGCTCCAATGACTACTTAATTTATAAAAATGGAACAGCATTAACAGAGGAGATTAGGAGTCCCCTCCAGAATATCCCATAGACCTGTGGCTAGGACACTCTTCTGCAACATGGGAGTTCCAAGTTCAAATCTCTTTTCCAAGCAGCCAGAGGGGGAAATTGAACCCAGATTTCCCACATTCCAAGTAATTACCCTAACTACTGGGCTAAAAGTTATAAGAAGGGTGGCATCAGTCTGAGTGGGATATAGAAGGAAGATATTTGGACTCGTTGGGGAAAGAAGGTGAGGCCAGTGTTGGCTGCAATAGCTAATCCATTATTGTTTGGAGTGGTAGGAGCCAAATCTGCTTGGATGCAAATCTGAAAGCAGGCTGAACACCACTTCAAGTCTGGGAAGTTGTCAGTGACTGGTTGTAGCTGGCCTTAGTGTTCAAACCCTCAAAAGTCCAGTGCCTTTCTCAGTATGGTTAAGAATCAGTGGTGAGAGCTCGCACTGATTAGGCTCAGCTGGAGTTTTCTGTCCAGTTCTGGACACAAGATTTCAGGAAAGATGTGGCTGAATTGGAGAAAGTCCAGATAAGAGCAACAAAAATTATTAAAGATCTAGAAAACATGACCTATGAGGGAAGATTGAAAAAACTGGGTTTGTTCAGTCTGGAGAAAAGACGACTGAGGTTGATACAAGGAAGAGGGAGAAAAAATGTTTAACCTCTGAGAATAGGACAAGAAGCAATGGGCTTAATTTGCAGCAAGAGAGGTTTAGACTTGAACATTAGGGAAAACTTCCTAACTTTCAGGATAGTTAAGCACTGAATAAGTTGCCTAAGGAGGTTGGAGATTTTTAAAAACAGGTTAGAGAAGCACCTGTCAAGGATGGTCTAGATAATATTTAGTCTTGCCATGAGTGCAGGGGACTGGACTAGGAGATCTCTTGAGGTCCCTTCCAGAATTCTATGATTATGGGTCCCCCATGATAGAATAAAATTTCTAAGGATCACCATTGGAGCTAAGATGACATTGTGGCCATGGAGGAGGCTGGTTCACAGAGCGCTCATCACAGGGATGTTACTGTTTCACAACTAATCATTTTTAGACAAATGGGGAATGGAGGGGTGAAATGTAAAAGCCTCCTGGTTTTGTGAGCAGGTCCCTGAGAAGGGAACATAAGGCAGCTTATGTTGACCTAATGATGTAAGTGTACACACGACCACCTTGTCCCACCAGTGTTAGTGCCCTACTACAATGACATCATAACTCCACCTCCATGAGAGGCATAGTGCTTATGTCAGTGTAGTTAGGGTGATGCAGTGTCTGTGTAGACACTGTTACTTCCATTGGCTGTTGGCTAGCTTGTCAATTTCATGGCTCCAGAAGCCGTGAAATTGACAAGCCAGGTAGCTAGAACCCTGCTACCCCCAGCTCCCCACTGGGCTGCTGCCTGGAGTCTTCCCACTCAGAGCTGAGAAGCCGAGGTGGCTGGCCCCCACTCCCAACTAGGAGCTGACAGCCAGGGGGGACTGCTGGGCTTCTGGCAGGGAGCTAAGAGCCCTGACTTTCAGCCCTCCACACTGCCACTCTTCAGTCAATGGAAGTGCCCCTGGCGAGGGTGCACACCACCGACAGAAGGAGGTTAGTGTGGACATCAACCACCACAATAATTACTGTAAGTCAACCTAACATAGGTCAACTTAGGGCTGTAGTGCAGACATACCCTCGGTTCCACACTGATAGGGAGTGTTGGCTCTATAGAATGTATTAAACACATCTCCTTGTGCTGCTACAAAGGCTAGTTTGGACTGTGATGTAGTCCCTCCCCAGCAAGGTGTGCTCAACATGAGGAATAAGAAATAAAATCAAGAAATATAACCTGACTATCCTGCATGGGAATGTGTGATGTGCTAATTATGACTATTGATATTTCTATTATTCATAAAATTGAGATGGTTGATACTTTCTTTAAAAAGTGGTGTGAGCCATGTTGCAAGTAGAGCTCGTTGAAAATTTCAGTGGAACAGTTTAGCATCAGAAAATGCATTTCTGTGAAAATTGAGACATCTCATTGGAACGTGTCGATTTCAAGAAAATGTTATGGGAGGATGAATTATTTCAATAATGTCAATGTTTTGTTTCAGTATTATTTGAGTTCATTTTGTTAATATATAATTTTAAAATTATATATTTAATATTTTATTTTTTAATGTTTCAGCATTCTCAAAATGAAATGCTTCTGTGGTTTCAAATGAGAAGTTTTCATTCCATAAGAAAATTCAACATTTCGTTCCAATTCTTTTTTAAGTCAGCATTTCCCACAGAACAGAAATTTCATTCTCAGTTGTTTGAGCATTGGCCTGCTAAACCCAGGGTTGTGAGTTCAATCCTTGAGGGGGCCACTTAGGGATCTGGGGCAAAAATCAATACTTGGTCCTGCTAGTAAAGGCAGGGGGCTGGACTCTATGACCTTTTGAGGTCCCTTCCAGTTCTATGAGATAGGTATATCTCCATATATTTATTTTTTTTATTTAGTTAGTTACAAAGCGTTAGGCTCTTACGATGTGGCTTCTGGAAGCTTATGTGATCTTTAAAATGTGGTCCTCCAACAGTTCTTTATAGTGGCTTTTTAAAAGTATTTTTAAATTACTTACCTTGACCTTTCTACACTAGAATATTTTGTACATATTAACATCGGGTGCTTGTAATGGAGTTGGGACTCACCACCTGGCACCTCCTATTGCTAGTCTCAGGAATTAGCTCAGTTCAGTGGAGCGCCTTCTTCTGGTGGTGTCCCACCCATTGTCTCTCCCTTGGTTGGCATCTGAACCCACGTCGCTCTCCAGCTCGTGGCATCCTCTTCAGGACCCCCAGCAATGCCCCTCAGTCCATCCACACCCCCTTCTGGGGGTGGGGGAGGGAGGGTGAGCAGCAGTGCTACACTCCAGCTATCGTGTCCAACCACACCCTCTTGTCAGGGATCTGGCATAGTCTATAATGGCCGCTCCCTATGGCTAGTGGTACTGCAAGGGGGGAAACCCAGGCACGCCCTCTACTCTGGATCCCGGCCCAGGGACCCTCTGGCAGCAGCCTCACTGTCCTTCTCTCCCCTCCATCTGTCCACATCCCTGGGCCACTTCCCCTTCAACCCCTCGCACCAGCTAGGCCCTTCCCCTCAGGGCCTGCAGTCTGGAGTACTCTTCTGCTCCCCCAGGCCTGCTCAGCACTGCCCTGTCCCAGGTGCTAGTCTCCCCCTATGGAGACAGACCTTCCCCTCTCAAAGGCCTGGGACAGACTGACTGCTCTTTCCCTGAGCAGCATTTTTACAGGGCTGAGCCTGGCCCTGATTGGCTGCCTCCAATCTGGGCCCTGATTGGCTCCCAATAAGCCCTTCCCTAATTGGCTGCACATCTGCGCAGGCGCACTGGCTTGCTGCAGCCTAAATCCTCCAGGAGTGGGGTAGTTTTCAATTGTTTTAGCTATATTTGTTTCCATAAAGCCTCAGTCATACTTCTTAAAACTGTTTTGCAAATGGTTTTCTCTTCTATGCTGTCAGTTAAACTGTTTTTAACACTGGGACAGCTGCACTGATAACAATGTGTACGATATTTTCTGGGGTGGATAAGTCTCTTGTCTTACAATAGTAAGTATAACTTAGTCCCCCTAAAACAATTTAAACATCCCTCACATCCATGCATAATAGTGCTCAAGATGATTTACAAGCATGCTAAATACAAATAACTATTTAAACTTTGCCCATACCCTCTGATGAAGTCCAAATTTTGGCAAAAATCCATGATAAATATCACTGTAGCTCCAGGAAAAGCAGGAAAAAAGTCTGGTTTTGCTAGAATTACTATCAAATTTCTATTACCCCAATTATTACCATTACAGCATTTTCAGCCTTAATGGCGTGAGATGCCCAGGAATGCAACCAAAACTGGATTGTAGAGTATCATACAATAACCAATGCCACACAACTTCCTTAAAATCCTATTTATGTTTAAAAGAAGCTGTACCTAATTTTTCTGAGAATATCATTCTGAAAATTGACGTAGTGAAATGCACTTCATCTTGCATACTGTAAACTGTAATTGTAAACAAGTTTTTGATTAAACTGAACATTTTAAAGTTTCAATGAACAACAACCTCCTTAATTAAAAATGACATTATTTGTGACACTAAAATTATGGAGGCCTAGTGTCAATCTATAAACTAGTCTCCATCCCACTGTAGTGATGATATAGATTAAAAACTATTGCATTACAATCAAACTTTTAAATCAACCTATAAGCTTTGTAACTTTTTCAGTATAGGGAACTCTGCTTTCCTTCATGTTTGTACAGCATTTAGCACATTGTGGGTGCTACCAGAAACAATATGTGGTGATAATACTGCTGCAGGATTACTTTCACATAGAAAGTAAAGTAAGTACTAGTAGTCAAGACTCCTGGAATGAAAACTCTCAACAGAATTTCTCTCCAACTCTAAATGAACAGGCAACTCTAAGTGACCATATTAGCACATTGATAGATGGAAATGTTTACCTTTACTGCATCCTTTTTTCTAATAAAATACTTTTTGTTTGCATACTGCACATGTAACATTAATGTCCTTTGTTTCCTGTCTGGGATTGGCAGTTTTTCGAATATACATCTCATAATGAAATACGTTACAACACCCGGCAGCCTGAAGCCTGTGCAGCAGTTGATTCCGGGACTGACTATTTGACAATGTACTTGTGTCAAGACAATGTTCAAAATATTCCTGAAAATCAGAAATTTGTTTTCAGAGAGGTAAGCGTGTCAGTTTTTAAACTTTATTGTTTCTGGTCATCATGCAAGCAGCACAAACCCAGAACATGGGTTGGGGTGTTACATCCAGAGCTTTTAGATAGAAACCATTATGATGAATTGTCTTATCAATCCAAAATTATGCCATTAATTGTAAAAGTAGCCTACCTCTTATGTGGTGCTAGCATCTGGAAGCGAGTCCATTTTCAAATCACAAAAAATCATAATTTTCTTACTATGTGAGTACAAAACAGGTGAGACTCAGAAAAAAAATTCTTAAATGGCCCATTTTTGGCTGAAGAGTCGTGGTATGGCAATGAGGGAGGGAGCAGGGTGAGTGCTGATATGTGTGGGGGAAAGAGTCTTGGGAAAATGGGCTGTGGAATGAGTCCAGTCCCTCTGTGCTGATGGTGCCTGATTGTAGGGTCACTCAGCACCTCTGGCATTCCTGTCTTGGTACCTTCAACTCAGAGTATTTCAGGTGCTTGTGCCACCTCACCCTCACTCATCTATCTCCCGCCATAGTCTCTTTGCTCCTACACACACACACACACACCCCAGCTTGTCTCCTCACATCCCTTGTCTCCCCGTCTTCCTTTCACCATACCACTGTCTCCCAGTCCCATCGCCCATCACAGCAATGCCTCCGCCTCTACCCACACCACTACCTGTTGCTGTTCCTGCCATTCTATCCCTATCTCTCTGTGTCCCAAGACTTCCTTTCCAATTCCATGCTCCCTGCTGCCTCCATAGACCTTATGCCTCACTCATTGAAGTCCCCACTATCCTTGTCCACTCACTTGCCTACCATTCTTCTCTGCCCTCTCCTGTCCCAAATCCCTTTCCCTTTACATTCAAACACATACTCACATCCCCCTGTACATCACTCATATTATCCTCTGTTTGCCCATAGCCACAGCATCTCCTGCTGCCATACCTACTTCCTCCAACCTCTGCGTATCCCAAGGCTGCCCTGCCACCCCATGGTCCCTGTTACCCCCACAATCCTTTTATCCAGCAATATATACCTCCCACATCCTGCTGTCCAGGAACCATACCTGCTACCCCAGCTGTCACACATACCCCATAGCTCACAGCCCCTTAATATCCCCCCTCCGATCTACAATGCCCCATAACCTCCTCCTTCCCCCAAGCCCTCAGCCCCCTTCTCATACAGTCCCTTCTGCCTTCCCCATCACATCAAAATGTGCCCTGCATCAAAATGTGCCTGTTCACCATCGTAACCTCTGGCAGTGTAATGTATGGATATTTTAACAAGTATTGGGAGTCAATCAAAATGGTGCCACCACCCCACTTTTCACTTTTAGCCCAAAGGAGGGCACATTTTGATGTGCTGCTATCCCCACTGCCAGAGCCTTTCCCCGCAGTGGAAAAAGGCTCCCACTGGGACACTACATTGCTAAAAATTGCAATGTAGACAGGGAAGGGACTGCTTGGCCATATAGAGAGCTGTGTAGGGTACATACCCACAGGGTTCAGGTGTGTTTTTACTTACCTAAGCAGTGCCTTACTGTCTACACTGCTATTTATACCCATGCTAGAGGTGTGTATAGTGTATGTACTCTATGTGCTGCCATAAGGAGTGTGCAGTATAGATGTATCCTAAGATGACACATTGAATGGATCCCAGACACTTCAGAAAAAGCAAGATTTGAAAAAATGTGATTTGAAATAGTTCCGAGTTCAGTGCATTCAGAAGCATTAATTTTTAAGACTAATGTATTGATTTTGAGCCACTGAAATCCTCTCCCATGGCTGTTGATCACATCACTTCCTTTGAATCCCTACACTAGCTCCCCATCTTCTGTTGCATTAGATTTAAACTACCAGTCACCACCTTCATGGCTTTCTATAAATCTATCCCTTCCTACCTAACTTCCCTTTTTGAGCTTCAGATGATCTCCTACGACAAATACCGATAATAATACATTTGTACTGGGAATTGTTACTGAAAAAATTACCCAACTGAATAATGTAGTGTGACAGGGCAGCAATAATGCTATAATTAAGGCTGGGTTCTTTTTTGCATTTAGACTCTTTTGTGGGGTCTGCAGTTAGCTGATGGAAATTATGGTTTACATTGTTCCTTCCATTCTCCAGTGAAGCATGCACAAGCCTTTTTGAACAGGTTAGGAGAGGAATTAGAATGCTGCCATTTGTCATATGCCCCCATGTGATGTTTTGTGCATCCAAAACTGAGAATCTCCAGCTGTAGTATGGAAAGTTCATATGCTCTTTTAGGGAAAAAGGTTGGACAGAGGTAAATGGGAGGATAGAATTGATATGAAACTGTAAAATTGCACTAATTTATCAGAGATTGATGACAGAGGTCATAGTCTGTCATTAAAAAAGCATTTAGGAAAAACTTAGAGAGGGGGGGGAAATGCATTTTGCCATGTAGAGGCATAATTATGGGAATCCTTAATGTTGTGAATCAGAGTTTGAAGAATCATTCTCTAAAAAAATGAAAGGAACAGAATGAAGAAGAGATGAGGCTGCAGTCGCTACAGGAGCAGAATTAGGTTGTTTGTTGCATTTTTGTTTATGATGTTTGTTACATGTGTTGGCTAAAGATGATGCATTTTATAAGCGGCTGTGAAGTAGCTGTATTGTTTTTCAACAGAACTTAAATGTTGTTTCCCTAGATATTTATGTTTGTGATGTTGGTTATTCATCATGAGAAACTTTAGCCATTAGACAACATAATGGTCTTGTGTGTGGATGTTATTAGGTTCAGTATTATGTTCTGACATGTATACTTTAGATGCTGGTAATAATGTACAATCATACCGTTTAATATTGTGACATGTATTGAAACTGATGGTAATTGCCTGATTTAAAGACCTGAGGCCTGATCCAAAACTCATTGAAGTCGGTGGGAAGATTGACTCCCAATATTTGTCGAAATATCCATACATTACACTGCCAGAGGTTAAGATGGTGAACAGGCACATTTTGATGCAGGGCACATCCAATGGATTTTAAATCAGGCCCTAAGTAAATAATGAGTATAAACTAAAAAAAGGACCTCTGGATTTGGCCCACACATTTTATGCTGTCAATGATAATTACATTTTTCTTGTAATGTGTTATGAGAGTTAATAGTTCATCCCTGGGCTTGTCTACATGACGGGGTAACACACATTTACATAGCTGTGATTTCTAAAGTGCACTAGCATGTTGTGCATTAACTGCTCTGTGTAGATACTGTTGGTGCATGCCAAAGTAATTTACTGCCATTGAAACGGTACTACCTTAAAGTGCAGTAGGGAACCTTTAGTGCACACCAGCAGGGTCTATACAGAGCAAATCAATGTACACATGCTGGTGTGCATTACCCCACTGTGTAGACAAGCCCTCTGTGAGACCTAGTTCATTATATGTATGAAAAATTCCACTTAGAACCCAATCTGCTTGCAGAAACTCTTACTGAAGCCAGTGGGAGCACCAAACACAGGCTTGCAGGATCAGGCTGTTTATAAGAGGAAAGTAGGTAGTAATGGGAGCAATTATATAGATTTTTTTTCTTTAATTCCCTTTCTAAAGAGATCTGTTTAAGGGCATATATTTTAAGTTGTATAATACATGCTCTAATGATATCATATAGGTGTGCACTATAAATTTGCTTTTTTCTATTTTCAAAATAGTGTGATCTGTAATATAAAAACAAAAGAAGCATCTTTTGACAGATTATTAGGAGAACTCCAATTTTATAGGCAGTAAATATTCTCACTTCCAAATCTCCTTGTTTTAGTTAGGTCATATCTAATGAAGAAAGTTTGCCCAGATTCTAGCATATCCAAACAAGTGGATGTCTAACAACTGAAAACAGGCACAATTTCACTAACTCAGTGGAGTAATGTCCCAAGGTGTTTATCTATAGGATTTGGTTGTATATATCTTGGCCAACTTTCAAGACACCTATGGGGAATGGTGAACATTTGAATGTGTTCTTTGAGGTACATGGAGTTGTGTCTAGGGGTCAGTAATTTCTTCGTGCACTTATACCATGCTCATCTAAACCTAAATTCACAGCTGTTGAAATAAGTTTCTTTAAGATAAATTCTGCCTTCAAATTACACATAACTACCATGGAAATCTATGGTAGTTGTGCATGCTATCATAATGCAGGATTTGGTCCATTCTTTTAATTGAACTAGCATACCTTAGAAAGAGGGTATTTACCAGTAATTATGGTTCTTTGAGGGATGCCTCTACATATTCACACTCATGAGATTGAAGGTGCCTGCTCTGCAGTCTTCCATGTACAAGCATCGCTTCATGGCATCAAATGTTTGGGGACTTAAAGCTAGATAAGGGAAGTGCAAGTCTTAGTCCTTTTCTTCTGAACCCCAGAATCCAGAAATGTGTAAGAATTCTGAGGGAGAGGGGGAGGTAGGTAGAGAGTGTGAATATGCAGAAGCACCCCTTAAAAATACACAGTACCTCGTAAGTAACTTCTCTTCTTTTGAGGACCTCTTCATATTTCCACTCATGAGAGACCAGTAAGCAGTGCAACCCAGATGGAAGATGGGCAGAAGAGTAACATAAGTACTGTAAATCCTGTCTGCTCAAGCTAACATCATAGTGGAACTCTGACACCAACTTTGGGAGGAACTTAGGATAATGTTTTAGTACTGCTTTGTTTTTGTAAAACAGTAAGTGGTGGGTCAAGGCATCAAAGCATGCAATTCACCCCAGCAGCCTGATCAGAATTAAGTTTAAGTCCTGTGTTGGCACTGGGACTTAAACTAGTAGATATTGGTCAACCCTTTCAGGAACCTGGATACCATGGACTGAAGATGGAAAAACCTTCAACAGGAGGGGGAATAGGCCAAAATTGCAGATTTGTTGACACTGATGGATGTCAGAGTCCTTGATTTTTAAGATCTAACAAGTAGTCCGTTACTGGTGGCAAAGAGGCAGAGCACCAGGAAAACCTGTTTTCCACTCAGAACCAGTGCATCTACACTAGCATCTGAGGTATTTGTTGCCTTTTGGAGCCAAGAGAGGTTGTGGCCTAACCTAGAAACAGCTGGGTCCTGGAACCTCCTCCTGGACTGGGAAAGGGGTCTTTGATTTCTCCACAGTTGGATATGTAGCTTCCTAGGAACCTAATTTCTTGGCAGGCATTGCTGACGGAGTTGAGGTTCGCTTGGATGAACTCGAGACTCCCGTAATCAGAAGGCCTTAAGCGTCAGCTTGATGTTCCTTGGGGACTCTGTGTATGAAGAGCTGGTAGACCTTGCATCCATCCAAGGCTTGCACTACCCTGAAGCAAAATAGGCATCTAACTTCACAAAGATTCTGGGCAAGAGACACACCTGGAATAGAGGCTACCAACAGAAGTAAAAACTGTTTACAAAATAAGCAAAAAGCTAAGGATTTTTGTCAGGCAAGATCATATGAGGGGAACATAAGAATGGCTATACTAGGTCAGACCAAAGGTCCATCCATCCCAGTATCCTATCTACCAACAGTAACCAATGCCAGGTGCCCCAGAGAGAGTGAACCTAACAGGTAATGATCAAGTGATCGTTCTCCTGCCATCCATCTCCACCTTCTGACAAACAGAGGCTAGGGACACCATTCCTTATCCATCCTTGCTAATAGCCATTAATGGACTTAACCTCCATGAATTTATCTAGTTCTCTTTTAAACCCTGTTATAGTCCTAGCCTTCACAACCTCTTCACGCAAGGAGTTCCACAGGTTGACAGTGCGCTCTGTGAAGAAGAACTTCCTTTTATTTGTTTTAAAGCTGCTGCCCATTAATTTCATTTGGTAGCCCCTAGTTCTTATATTATGGAAACAAGTAAATAACTTTTCCTTATTCACTTTCTCCACACCACTCATGATTTTATATACCTCTATCATATCCCTCCTTAATCTCCTCTTTTCCAAGCTGAAAAGGCCTAGCCTCTTTAATCTCTCCTCATATGGGACCCGTTCCAAACCCCTAATCATTTTAGTTGCCCTCCTCTGAACCTTTTCTAATGCCAGTATATCTTTTTTGAGATGAGGAGACCACATCTGTACGCAGTATTCAAGATGTGGGCGTACCATGGATTTATATAAGGGCAATAAGATATTCTCTGTCTTATTCTCTATCCCTTTTTGAATGATTCCTAACATCCTGTTTGCTTTTTTGACTGCTGCTGCATACTGCATGGACGTCTTCAGAGAACTATCCACGATGACTCCAAGATTTCTTTCTTGATTAGTTGTAGCTAAATTAGCCCCCATCATATTGTATGTATAGTTGGCGTTATTTTTTCCAATGTGCATTACTTTACATTTATCCACATTACATTTCATTTGCCATTTTGTTGCCCAATCAGTTAGTTTTGTGAGATCTTTTTGAAGTTCTTCACAGTCTGCTGTGGTCTTAACTATCTTGAGCAGTTTAACCCTTAGGTTCCTCTAGCCACAGCTTGTGCCAGTAAGAAAGAAATTAAGGTTCTTGGGCCCCATTGCTGCAAAGCAACATTCATGTAAACCCAAAAGATGCAGTTTTTGACCTTGGCATCAGGCGCTTTGGATTCAGTTCAGTGCTTTTAAGGAAAAGTATAAGTTTAGCTATAGATGTTTCCTGTAACATTTCAAATATGGTAAAATTTAATGAATAACTCTTAATCTTAAGACTGTGCTGTAAATAATAATTTTCCATCATCTTTTGTAGGATGGTACTTTGTTCCATGTACAAACCCAGAAGTGCCTACAAGCCGAATCTAACTCTTACAATGGCAATCCAGCACCATTATTGCGACCATGTAGCAATTCAGAATACCAAAAATGGTTCTTCAAAGAAAGAAGTTGATCCAGATGTCATCAACTGTATGGCAGAATATGAAAATATTAACTTTCTAGTCAGCAGCTAGGAAATCTGTGGACAAATTACATAGCTGATCTATTTTTGTATGAAAAGAGTTGTAACTTGTTTACAAGTTGTAAACCTTGTTTTCTGGAGCACTAAAAGACATTAAGTGTTGAACTCTATTGAACGAGCACTGTGAATATACTGTGCTGCAGAAATCTCCTCTTCCACTGTTCTCTTTACTTGGCAGCTATACTGTTTCTAAAATGTTTTATGTTTTTCATACATGACTATATTTTTTTAACCTACTGTGTGCAAGTAAGGAAGTGAAAGTAATTGCACTAAAGCTATCTGCCAGTAACTTTAAAATCTTTATTTTTCTAAAACATTCTACAGTGGTAGCTTTTTAACAGATATTAGCTAAGGATTCTTATTTTAAATTCCAAAAATGTAAGTTTAGGTCAAATTCTGCCCTGAGATGTGAAAGTCAAGCAGAGCTCTCATTGAAATCAATGTGGAGTCGCACATCTACATCTCAGGCCAGACTAGGTCCTAATAATTTTGCACAAATAACACTCCAGATTGCACATATTTTACTGAATGTTATAACATTTTAAATGTTCATGGTACTTGACAGATTCCTAATAAAGCTGCTTAAGGTTATCTTTGGAGTAAAATTAGTGATTATTTACTGATCTTTCGTTAGTGTAAGAAATAAAGCACCAATATTAAAAATAAATTTGTGGGGGAAAATTAAATTCATATGGGGCCCAATCTTAGAAGTGTGTAGTATGTACTTCAAATGGAAGTTCTGCATGCACAAATCGTTCAAGATCTGACTCATAGACACTAAAGCTTTAATTCAAAGTTCAGTTTTTAAGCAAATACATTTAAAAATGGATAACTTCAGTTTCATTGCTACTGTTAATGCACTCCTTTTCTACAAAAATCATTGAAACAAAAATTGTTTTGTAATAAATTTAAGTGATAAGATTGTAATTGATGCTAATCTAAACATTTGTCTTCATGATTGTAATTGTTTTCTAAGAATTTTGATTATGAATAACAAGCTGTTCAATTCATCATGTACATTCCTACTGAAGTCTGGATATTTAATTAGCATCTATACAAGATGATGTTTGCTTAGAGCATAGGAATTGCCATACTAAATCAGACAAGTTATCATAGTCCAGTAGTTTGTCTTTGACAGTGGTCAGCAACAGATGCTTCAGCCCATAGAGCAAGTTTCTTCCTTATCGCTGTCAAAGGTCCACTTATGTGCTAAAGCATGAGTGTTTATATCTCTTCCAGAATACTTATTCTTTTATCCTTACTTTTGTAATTGTGGACGTTCTTGTTATCCATATAAACATCCATACCTTTTCTGAATCCTGGTGAACTCATGTCATATTTGCATACTTATTTCATGATTGTTGGGGACTGTGTGCCTTTAGAGAATATGTATGTAGGTTCTCCCAAGATTGTTGCAAAACTAATGTTTTTATAAGCACCTTTACAATTCTGTCTCTGTGGATTTGGTTGATGAAACTGATATTGGATCTAATAAAATAATTTGTGAATTAATAGGTTCGAAACTCTTTTGTAAGTATTTCTTTCTTGCAGTCTCAATACACTTTTCTCAGAATTTCTCTGATCTTTGGCCCTGATCCTTCCAACATTTAAGCACATAGGAAAAGACAACTGTTTTATCTTACACTCTTGTTAGTTCTTTTTTCCTAATAACCTCTTGCCTTGCTCTCTCTGTTTATATACAAATTGCAGTAGTTTTACTCACCTGCTGGATACCAAATTAGTATAAATTACACAACTTTACCACTAACCATTTACAACTGTTTCCTTACCCACTTACATTGCCATTTAGCTCACTATTGAATTTGTCCCTGGATATCTAAAAATCTACAAAGAAATAGGGTAGTGGCTTCAGTCCAGTACATATAGTACGGGAACAAATAAAAGAACTGACTGTGTGTGTGTGTGTGTGTGTGTGCGCGCGCGCGTAAGAGAGGAAGAGACAATAAAATAAAAGAGTGAGGTAGCATCACCATAGTTGTGAAGGGACTAAATAGAGGCTCAAACTCATTAGCACTTTTGTTCACTGGCTAGTAGCACCTGTGTTCGGTTTAAAAAAAAAAAAGCCATTCTGTTGGATCCACAAATCAAAACCAGATGCTGGCGTAAGAGAGAGGTGTTAAAATTAAAGCAAGCTTATCTGGTCACTTCTGTTTCATAGAATCATAGAATCATAGAATC